ACACCAGAAATGGTAATTGAAGAAGCGGCTCTCAAAACAGGAGTTAGACCAACCTTGGCTCGTGCTTTCGCAACTAGCATGGCCAGGCCTTCAACGGACTGTGTGTTGCACTTCGCAAGAAGAAAACCGAGGCTTGGAGAAAGACTGTTCGAAGAAAGCGGACGCCTTCACGAACTTCAGCGCAAGCTGTAACGGCTACAAAGCCGATATTTCCTGTAGCCAGTACTTGCAAGTACTGGCGTACAACCACTGGAGAACGGGCAGGCGCAAAAGCCACGTAAAAGATACTAGAATCTCCTAAGAAGGGACTAGAAAAGTCTCCATGTGAGTAAGACTGATAATGAACCTTGGAGAAGCTGCTAGAAATGATACCCTTAGAGTAGCAACTGGAATCATCTAGAATGAGCTGACCATGGGGGGGAAGAACTTAGAATGTAATAAATCTGTATATATACCTGGATTAGTATGTAGAACTTAGGTCTTCATAGTTGAATTATAAAATACCATCATCCATACAAATGCTCCTTGCTTTCTATAGTTGATCTATGACACTAGGATATGAAGAAGTCGAATCAAATAGATATTCAAATCAGGATTATAATATAAAGGATTCTAAACTAAGGAAGAGAAGGGAAAGAAAGCATCTACAGATCTATAGCTGTACATAATTTACACCTGGCCCGTGCGTTCCATACCGGGTAACTCCTTATACTACAGACTAATCATTATGTCATTGCACCCCTACTCATTACTATGATGCAGGGCCGTCACACTCACTTGTTGAATAGGTGGCACCTCAGTCACCCTCAGGCAAAAGGCCCCCCCCGCGGCCTACCGGCCTGGCTGACAGCCTACAACAACGGAATCGAGGACTATAACCACCTGGAGGACAATAGAGCCATGACTACAACTTCGAGGACGCAGTTTTTCAGAGGGGGGGGTAATGTTATGGTTGGACTTGCTAGGGCACTTGGAGGTAGACTGGTGGAAGAATCCGGGATCACATGATAATGTGTAACGGGGATGCAGGCCGGACTAAGGTGGAGCCGCGGTCGAGCTTACCTCAAGCTCGTAGCTCTTAGCACTTTCTTTTTCTTTGTCTTTACTCCTACCTACGTAACGTAGCCTGATGTCCAAATACAAATTCTTCTTAGAGACCCGTATCATCCTCAGGTCAGTCGTAACACTCTCTAGCGATCCATCCGACCTCTTCTCGCCCTTCTATTCCGCTTCAGGTCAAATTCCTACGCTCCAATTTGACAACTAGCTAGTGTTGTTGTTGCTTGCTTCGAAAAAGCAGTTATGAAGAGGCCATTTACTGAAAGCTGTAATCCCTTCACGATGTAACGGCTGTTAAGCCTAAGGATTTCTATAGCCTACGCTGGCTAGCGCAGGCTATGAAAGCAAGGGAATCTTCGGGAAGGAGCTTAGAAGATTCTCAATGAACCTTCTGGAAGCACACTGAAGGTTCATGAGGACAACAGGTGTATCAAGAGTCTTCTAGGGTATTGTCGAGGATTCCATGTTATTCTAGACATAGGGAGAACCTTGCAGAAGAGTAGTATCTCAAAGTGTATATGTACTTGTAGTCTAGCTACAGGTATTCTGTTTCTGGAGAATTATAATTAAAATACTGTACTTACAAGATTTCTCATGCATTTTGAACTGAAACCGTGACACAGGAGAGCCTATAATCCAGGTTATTTCTGACTTTGAGTATTTAGATTGGATTAGATTTTATTATAGTCCTAGCTGAGTCTATGACTGTGGAGGACTTCTAGAATCTCTATAAGATACTAATTTTATATGATTTATTTGATGCTTATAACTTCAAAATATTTTCTCATAGATAGTGAGGAACAAGTCCTTACTTTGAGTGTTTTCTTCCGCCATTGGGGCAGTGTCGCTTTAGAACAAGCCGGCAAAAGAAGTAGTGATCACGCCGCTTTTCTTGTCCTTAAGCGAAGCCGGCAAAAACGAATTCTCCATCTTCCAGTGGTGCTGGTATACTTTTCATATTTTTTTATATTTCCAGTGATTTATAGAGATGATCAAATTTTGTAGCAAAAAATATTTCATGATGTATGCAGCTGTCCCGCTACAATACGTGATCAAAGTTATATGTATATATCAGGTGAGTCTTTTGACACTAGAGACACCCATACTCTGGATTTCATCTGAAAATACCACTATAGGGTATGTTTGTTTGCACCGGGCAGTCGAGTCTCCTCAATTTTCCACCAAAGAAGAGTTTGAAAATCTTTGGTTATCCAAGCATATGAATACCGCGAGAAATTTGATCTCATCGTTCTGGATTCTGAACAGTGTGTGTGTTTTATTGTACTACTTGAGTCTATGACTATCTAGCACATTGGGCTTCTCTCTGACCCAGGCCACACCTTGTACAGTGCTCCTATCCTCTTTTGTTACTTGAAAGATCATTGATATATTCCCCTTGATGAATAGCCATTCAGCTCAGTATTTACCCGTGGAATTCAGCCACCTTTTCCACGGAACCTTCTACCCAAAAAAAATAAAATGGTAGCAATGGAAACTGCGTGCGCGGGAAAAAGTCTCAAAAAACCTGCAGCCCCAGCCAGGCGATGCCTAGACACCGGAACTACACGAGGTGCGCATATTCATCTATATCTCCCTTCTTTGTAACAGTCGAGGTCGACTTGATCCAATCCACCATCTCCGTATCGGGTGCTGGGTACGCTCCGGAAACTCATCGGATGGCTTTTCCTCCATGATCAAGGGTGGGTGACGAGTAGGGCTCCGACCCTACCATCTGATCTGATCGTGGTTAGCTTCATGATAGTGGTGATAGGGGAATGTGTTGAGAGATGAAGGCGATACAGACCGCGAAAGCGATTGGGAATCCTCGTCGAAGTGAGGACTTTGTTACTCAATCTCGGCTCTGCAGACTCTACAGTGAGAGCTGGAGGTTCGTAGGGGACACCACTGACAGGTGTTGAGAATAGTCCCCCGATTCTGAACAGTGATATCACGTCACATGTAGAATAGCTTTCCATGATTTCCAGATTCTATTTGAGAGACCTTCTCGGATAATTTGCCACTATAGCACCTAATTGTGACTATTTTGATTGTATTTCCTGTACTCTTTGCCAAAATTCGATATTTCACCTCTTTCAAGATTGTAACTGTTGTTCCACAATCTTAGAGCGACGACTACTGTAGATTTTCTTTGGGGCGAATTAACAAATATATTATATTAAGTATATATATTGCAACTACCTCTATCCACTGACACCTCTCCCAAAGGAACTCCTCGCCATAATAGTTTTCCATCTCAGCTCTGACCACCTTTCCTTCTATGACTAATTCATGACTAATCCAAAGCTCCTTCCTGATCACTTTCAGGGTTAAGTTTACTCCAAGCAGATTAGGGTACTGTATGCGAGAGTATTCCTACAGTAACTATCAGTAGCTTCAATTTTTGCATCTGTTCTGCTATCTCTCACTTTCGTTTCAAATATTTGACTCCAAAATTTTTGTACCACAGTCTTCGTCCTCCTGCGAGTATTAATATTCTGGTAGGGCTTGTTGGAAATGGAGACACAGGAAGTTGTGGACGTACGGGCTCTCAATTTCGCCTAGGTTCCCGACACAGTCTTGTGTGTGATTAAGAGGTTGGAATGAGTAATAGGGTAGCGCTTCAGACTACCTAATGGAAATATGAGCAGCTGTGAGGCATGGTCACAAGGGGTCTATTGAGGGGTTTTCTATGCCTAGATAGCGCCACAAATGTTTATACTGTGTGTAGCTTACACTTATACTTTTAGGGTACATATCCCACTATTTCAGCAGTAATCCGAACATAACACTCATCTATTCAACTTCTTCTTTCGTTCCAGTAATATTTTGCCTATTTCATTGCGTGATATTTCCTAGAAATATCGTGCTAAAATGTCAGATAATTCTTGACAAAGCGTGATTGCTGCATAGTTGCTTAGCTCAACTTCTTTTGTGCCGTCCAGGGCTCTGGAGAGTGCCGTTGACTCATCGAAAATTGAGGCCCTCCTGGCTAATTAGTCAAAATCTCGGTCTTGGCGCCCACAAACGTTCCAAATTCGAAAACATCTCGAAAATATCAGACCTATTATTCCCACAGGAGGTCTCTTCCTTATATCTTACCACGCCCCAGTCGCCTGTCATTCTTCAAGATGTATAGCCCCATTAGAGCAATAGTCCGCCATGAACCAAGACCCCAAATTTGTATATTATGACTTAATTTCCTTCTTTCAGGTATGTGTAGCATCGTAAATTTGTAGAGAGTGATGGTCGGTAACAAATGAGGCAAGATCCTGTTTGCAATTGGAGTAATGCCTTTATCGGTCGTTGAGGATTCAGGTAAGAACGGTAAGAGCGGCATGATTGAGAAATCTTCAAATAGATATGTGCTTGAGGTTGCTTTTGGCTTCGATTCGGTTGCGGTTCTTCTTGGCCATCCCAGATTTAGAAAGTATGCTGAGCGATTACACTGGCACGACTGGAAGGTGAAGAATTCGTCTTTGCCGGCTATCGTAATACTATATCGAGCGGCGCATGCATTTATTTTCTTCATCGATTCCTTTTGATTAAAGGTCTTATTTGGTTATTCTAGAATTTTCTATATATTTTCGAGAAATCTATGAAATTACTACTAAAATATAGAAGTCCACTGAGTCAAGTTTAGGCCACGAATTTAGGGCTGAATATTTGGATTTACTATGGTGAAACTTCATTTTCTAAGGAAACATATTTGACAGTAACTAAGTATTTGCTGTTAGACCTTCACGTAAAACTAGGGGCTTAAAAATTTGCATATGTCTTTCTATCTTTTAATCTACAGCATTTTTTTTATCGGATATTTGGTTACTTTCCTGAATGATATTTTAGCTAAGAAATGATACTATCGAATCCCCACCATAATTACACGTAAGTTAGGGGGAAAAATAGACTGGCTGACAGATATCATACACGTTCTGATTTTTTCACTACTGGGTGATGATAGCATTTCGATCTGAAAATGGATTATCTTGATCACAATCGGTGCTGTCCGAATCCTCTGCATCCCTTTCGAAGTGAGGTTGTTGAGATATCTCTTTTTGAGTTGGATAAGGACGCTGATGTAAATGACCTTCCTTCGTATCAGGTTTTAGACAAGCAATCTGATTAACGATATCGTCATCCCTTGCTTTTTGGGTCAATTCTAAGAGTTTGTCGGTATTTCGTCTCATTGTGTACATAGGCAACTGATTACGATCATGCAAATGTTCATTCATGATCTCTGAATCAGAATCACTGTCTGCATCAATTGATCTATCCAATTGCTCAAATGTCATGAGAGCGATGACGAGTTCATCGTTTGCATGGAGGAGCGGACCCAACCATTCTTCAGATTGAGTATTCTGGATCTATAATAAATGTTAGAAACTACATATCATGTAACAAATAACGATGAAATATACGTAGTGGAGTATTCTTCGTCGGAGGAGTTTACACTTTTCGAATCGATCGACGACTGATTTGTTATCCGAAATCTGCTCGTGTTCTCTGCTAATTAGCTTCAAGGAATTCAATAGGTTGGTCACTTCAAGAGAAGCTTCAGCAACACAACTCTTGATTTTTTTGTCCTCCACAAGTTGGACTGATTTTGCGTTCTGTTTTTCTTTATCGTTCTCCTTCTTTAACTTTCTGCCAATTGGGGTACCAAATATAGAAGCAACCGACCGTGATGAGCTACTCTGTAATTGTGGGTCACGGGCATGAGCCAGGGATGGCACTTGAGGGCTCGTATCTAACTTGTCGTTTACACAGTCTTCAAATGGACTTTTTTTAGATTCTCTGAGAGCTGACGACTTTTCTTGAGTTAATATCTGTTTATGGCGTGGTAATTGCTAGCACTTGTCATCAGTGAAGAGAAGACACAAATTATGACCAGTCACACCTTGTAAAGGCCTACAATGAGCTCAAAACCTGGAGTATCTTTATACTTGGTTGCCCACGACTGAAATAAAATCTGACATTTGGATTTGACTTTGGGATCTGACAAATCGGATGTTCCACAGACTCTTAGACGTTCTAGCAACATTTCGTCGGCAAATGTGCGCAGAAATCGTGGGCCTCCATTATGGATGAGACCATCAAGAATTGTAAGAGCTCGTAACTGACGAGTAACGTTGCCGTATTTCAACTTCTTTCTAATTGCCCTAGCAGCTTCACTAGGCCCGGTATTTTGAAGAGAAATTGCTTCAACTAAATCTGGAATACCACCTACGTCCTCCTCGTCAAATTGACCGTCGGTGAGTCTTTCGATGGCAACGGTAACGGCAGAATAAGGTTTCTTCTGACGTGCCGTACCATGTTAGTAATGACAGTGTAAAGTTGCGAAAGCGCCCAAAGTATCTCTCACAACTCCAACTAGAAAATTCCCGTGGATATGTAGCCTTGCCCAGAAGCTCTCGCGACATTCTTGTTGTGACAGGGAAATATTTCAAAATTCATCTCGCCGTGGAGTCGAGGAGTTGATAGCAATTAGTACAGCTGTGAAAGATCCAAAGACTTACACTGTGGAACATGTTGATGCCAGCTCGTACAATTTTACGTTTCAGTTCTTCCTAATTCCGTCTGGTTTAGAGTGAGACATTCTTGAATAAGTACAATATGAATTCAGGCCATAGCTGTGATGTTGCAAGCGGACTTACATTGATATGATATTCGTGCTCAATCAGATGTATTTAGACTAGAAAATCTCTAAAATTCTTTCCGTTGATATTGCTCAATATACTGATGGATGCTACTCTGCTTGTTCCATGACATGGTAATTGATTCATTACAGCGGGGTAGGCCCCTCCCCTGCCCAGGCATATAGATCTATTTTCCCAGTCGGCAACTTTTGTTAATATATCTTTAGGTTTTAAATAAATAAGAATAAAGCTATACCATAGATAACATTGAGTAAACTTCATCCTATTTTTATTAGATATATCAGACTGTGTCCATCGAGAATATTAATCACACTCAGCTACCACAGTTATCTTACTCGTAAGTATTACTCAACTCAATTCATCTTAAAGGCATTGATTAAAAAATTTTGTTTGTAATTGCAGATACAATTTATTAATCAATTCATCAAATGGAGAATTTGAATCCTATTAGATATGATCAGGTAATTATTAAATCTGAGAATCATTTGAGAACGGTGTGCCCAGGCGATATCAACGTCAATATATCCTACGATACCTCTAACAATAATCGTTTGACTAATCCCGAAAAAAAAGACAAAGAGATATTGAAGGGAAACCATCAATCTAGTAGTTCTCCACTCAACTATCAGAATTACCTTTACAAAAATAGGGACCCGATCCGTCAAACCAGAGCTGTAGTGACTCGGCCTAAGTGGATAACTTCGGGTGTTATCCAAAAGCGTGAGGATCTCAATAAGTATGGCGAAAACCAAAAGTATTCAAGGCAGGCCGATTGTGCTAAAGATCTTGACACAAAAGTTGTGCAGGGTTCCGAAAGCAGTATATCTGTTCAAGAAGAGGATCCCAAGAGGCGAGACGGGAGTAACAGTGATGGTAAATTTATTGAAAAGTCACCACTTGTCGGATTGGATTCGACCGAGGAATTTCCGACGGAAATAGATTGTCCTCGTACCCAAAGTCCTGCGAGTAACTACCATGGTTGGGTCACTACGGAATCTTTCTTGAGGTCCAACGCTCTCACGAAAACAACGTTGGAAAAATTAGCTACTTTTAGATATAATTCATGTCGAGCGAATGGACATACAAGGATAAAGAATCTGCAGCAGACGGATGCCCCTCTCATACCCTCGAATCTAGGTTTACTTGCAGAAAAAGTAATTATGTCTGGGATTTCAAACCCCGATGGAATGTGTCAACTAGCCCGTATCCCTACCACAGCAAATAAACACGAAAATTACTGTTCCAAGGAAACTCATGAAAACTCGCAAATAAACAGAGAACATTTATCCTACCAGATTTCAGAACAAATATTTATCAATGGCGAGAAATTTAGACAACCAGAGCTACGTCAACACGATATCGATCCAAGCAATTCTAGCACGGCGAGTGAGAGCTGTACCCTCGCTAGAGATAATTTCGAAAGTGTAAATAAATGTGCTATCGAATCATGTTACCTCGCTCCCGCACCTTCTACCAAGACTGAAGAATTTTATGTACCTGCAGAACGAGACTATTCTACTATATGCAGAAAAGATGAGGGTTAGTAAGCTCTAATCGAAATAAAATTTCAAACTACAAATAGAACTGACGTAACCTATAAAATATAAGGTCCCAATCGTACTCCTTGCATTGAATTACAAGATATATCAGATAAAAATGATGAATACAGTGAAGGAATAAATGATTCAGACCTTCTTTCTTTTTTTCCCGATTTACCTGCAACGGATAATAGTTGTGAGCTTGGGGAATCCAAGGGGAAAAATATTTATAGCCCTCAAGAAACAACAGCATTTAATGAGAGTAAGGAAGGGGTAGTTTATACCGAACTTCTTGATTCTATTCGGCTGATAAACAATGAGGATGAGTTCTCGATTGACGCGGATCTCGAGAAGGAACTCTTTCATGTTCAAAGCCCGACGATAGAACCATTGAGGGGTTATGAAGATAATAAAAAAAATTATGATAAAAAGCCGAGTTCCGGAGTCACCGTTAAAAGACTCAAAAGAAACTTTTCGGATGCAAATCCTGAGTTAACATCAAATTTATCGGTCAAGCGGCCAAGAATTTCAGATTCGGATAATCACACTTTGCGAGGAAACTTTATTTCCAAGATATCCACGGAAGGTCAAAAAGGTAGGAGCAATCTATAAAATTAGTATTTAAAGATTAATATAATAACTTCAATTCAAAAACAAATAGAACAGACCCACAACTTAATTATCCACGGACAGTCGGGTGACAACTCACTTATGGGTAGACCAACCTTCAGAAATGACAATGTTTCACCTCCGGACTCAGCCTCATGCTCAAGCCGAAATAAAATTGACGAAGCTATTGATCATCGTCCCTTTGCACGAAAAAACTTCCCGACCTTAGTTGATGATTGTAGTCCTATTAGAGGTCTTTCATCAGGTAGCTTTCTCCGGGTATGTTTTCGGGTTGGGGAATTTTTCAGAGAAGCGGGGCGATGTCATAAGTTGAAGCAAGCTCCAGTGATGGAGTTATTCGCACGTATCAGGAGCTCATATCGTGAGCTGGGGACCATGAGACAGAAATTCCATTTCGCAGACATATGGCACGATCGGCCTCCTCATCCAGTTGGCCTCCTCTTGGATGGAAGCGAGGAGCAAATTGAGAGCATAAGTAAGGCATTAGTAAGAGTCTTAGGTATTTTAAAAAGAGATAACAAGCAGGCTAGCGGTTGGCTATTCTATGTTATCAACATTCGAAAGACAGATTGGCATGAAATAGGCGAGACAAGGAGAATAATTGACGCAGAAAAAGTTGGTGAGAGAGTTCAGGAAAGAAAGATGGTACCCCGTTAAGCCGCCACCTTTTCTGGCTATGGCTCGTCCAATTAGCTCACTTACTTCAGTTGTTATGGCAACCACACGTTCGAACTAATAAACTTTTTTTACTAAGGGGAATCGTGGCAAAATCATGAGATTCAGATATCTGTTTACTACGATGTCGAATTTTGCGGATAACTAGGCTATCCGGTAAGAATTCTCTAGCTTTCATTGGGCAAGAAATCACATCAAAAATAGTATTAGTATCTACAGTTACTGGATTTTCAGTCTAAGGGACTGTATGGAAGCCTCGAACAAAATTGCCAAGTAGTTGACTAGAAATTACAAACAGGAATTCCGAGAGCCGTAGTCTTCCCAATTTTGCGTCAGAAAAACGAAAAACTTGCGATTAGCGCAGATTGCTTCCTTTTCAACCTTGTCATGGGAATCACACAAAAGCTAACCGAAAAATAGAACACGGTCACGTAATAATGTAACTTTATCGCCCCTAGCTATTCAAGACAAATCACTTACTCATCAGATATGTCACTTATAGTGGAGGGATACTAAGAGACATAGCGATAGACATAAAATCTACTTGCAAAATTATAGAATGACCAAAAAATCAAATCCAGCTTCTGTTCCCTCTGTGTAGTCGACCATTATTATCAGGCTATACATTCGGGCTGAATTTCATTAAATGTGTGACAGCAAGAAACCCCTGGCATGTGGACTTATCTTTTTGGCACAACGGGTGGTCACCCTAATCACAATCCTAGGTTTTCAAGTGGTGATGCAAAATCTAGTCGGAGGGAAGAGATACGAGTATTCTATAAGATATAGCACGGGTCTTAATATCAGATAATGTTGAGATCCCTACGAGAAATACAAGATGTAGCGGTATAACTTCGGTTGTTGTTGTAATTACGCTCTAAGATCAGAGCTCAAAGATTGTGGGCTTGGATGGTCAAAGAGGGCTAAGCCGACAAAGAAGAATTCCTCACCTTCCGGTTGGGCCGGTGTAATCGCTCAGTATGCTCTGCATATCTGGGATAGCCAAGAAGAATCGTATCTGAACCGAAGGCGAAAGAAATCTCACGCACACCCAAAATCGGCGACTTCTCATCAATGTCGGTCTTGTCACTCTCACTAGAGTCCTTCATCTCACCATTTATACACCATGTCCACTCAAATACAGATTAAATTGTCACTCTAATTCTAATCGGGAATTTTTCTCACCAAAAATCGACTATCTCCCATTATAAAATTACTGTTATAGCCAGGCATCTTTAAAGAGGTTTCAAGGAGAATTTTTCCAAGAAAACTCTGACAGTTAGAGATGGAGAGGCTAGCGTCATGATAAAATCTGCAATAGCCTTAGTTGGGTTCTAGCACTGTCACGACTTGGACTTGAGTAAGCTGGAGCTGCCACAGAGTTGCCCTGCAGCTTCTCAATATTTCATTCTTTTGATCTTTAATCTCGCCATCTAATTTTTATATAATATTACTATCTTATTGTTGAAAAATCGGTATGATTTCAGTAAGGCGGCTCAAAGGATATGCTCGCGATTTATGAATAGAATAAAATTGATGTAAATCGCGAGGGAGAGAGGGATATGTTTATCGTGCTACTTGAGCCATAGATTATCTAGCACATTGGGGTCCTCTCTAACCCAGGCCACACCTTGTACAGTGCTTCCTGCCTCTTTTGTTACTTGAAAGATCATTGATATATTCCCCTTGATGAATAGCCATTCAGCTCAGTGTTTACCCGTGGAATTCGGCCATCTCTTCCACGGAATCTTCTACCCAAAAAAAAATGTAGCAATGGAAACTGCGTGCGCGGGAAAAGTCTCCAAAAACCTGCAGCCCCAGCCAGGCGAGGCCTAGACACCGAGACCACATGAGGTGCGCATATTCATCTACATCTCCCTTCTCTGTAGCATTCGAGATCAGCTTGATCCAATCCACCATCTCCGTATCGGATGCTGGGTGCGGTCCGGAGACTCATCGGTTGGCTTTTCCTCCATGATTAAGGGTTGGTGACGAGTAGAGCTCCGACCCTACCAACTGACCTGATCGTGGTTAGCTTCATGATAGTGGTGATAGGGGAATGTGTTGAAAGATGAAGACGATATAGACCGCGAAAACGATTGGGAACCCTTATCGAAGTAAGGCCTATGGCAATAATGTTGTGGGATATGAATGGTACCTTTTTTGTATAGTTATGTTATGTTACAGATTATTTACATGATAAGATAAATCATTCAATTGTCCTGGTTTGGCTCCTTGAGGCTCATGCAGGTACTAGTCGGAGGATTTGTACTTTGGGTAGGATAACACAACTTGACTTTTGAGCACTCACATTCAGATTACATTTGCAGACACCACTTCAGGCTAACCCTTACGGCGTATACTTCTTCCGTGCATACCCACCACAGGGAAAAGCGTGAAAGGCTTGTGATTGTCCGAGTGCGCTTTCATCATCCCACAAACGCAGTATCACCGCGACAGGGAATAGTGTGCGGGTCTTACTGGAATCGAACCAGCTTTCTCCCGTCTCAAATGAGGTAGTGGTTCAAGCTACCCACACTCTACTCGGGAGAAAGACCCTAACTGTATACCACTGCACCGTCTGACTCCTGTTTAGATAAGAATTAACCAATCCCACAAACTCCCAGATAGCGCCGTAACTAGTCTCTTTTAGGAGTGATCTACGAGTGAGTTTAGCGATCGGTGGTATCTAATTTATCACTAACTTGTTTCCATCTTCCTGATTCAGCATGCCACTCTACTTGGATTACAATATACTACTAATGTGAAAAGCGCATTTGTAACGTTAGGTAGAAGTCGATTTAGCCGGAAGTGAAAATTTGATATGGCTGAGTATTTTGAATCATTACCACGTGGGCCAACTTCTTTGGTATTGCAAAATTTGACTGAATTTGGCTCTGGGAGAATATTTCACTCCCATGTTCGTAGAGGACAGGACGTACGGGTGTCTAGTCTTGTCCTCTCATATTTCATTCACTCTTAGCATTAGTACAACTCAGATGGTCTTTTCATTTGCTAGAAGACTGACAGTCTTGTCTTGTCTTGTTCATTTACGTGCTAGGTAAAGTGATTCCCGTTGCACTCCTACTGGAGCTTAAGCACGGGTGGGGCCGGGCTGGATCAGGATAACTACCATTAAGTACATCTACCTCGTCCCACCTAAATGACAGGACCACCTCAGACTTCACCCATGTGTTGAATCATGTCAAGCCCAACCGTCCAGAGAATACCCTTTTGGCGCGCCGAAGCGCAAATTCCTCCTTAGCCTCGGCCACCACGCGCTCGAGCCCTTGACACCTTCGCCATCTATAACTTTTCCCTTCGAGTCATTCGCAGCTTTGGCTCATCTCAGCATCTCCTCATCTCATCCAGGTGTCGTTTTCTTCACTGGAGGCCTCATCCAGCCGCCCACCAAGGCCTCCTCAGTTTGTATCCCCTTTTGATTCCTTCATGCAGCATCCCTCTGTCCTTCAGCCGATCTCGTCATCCCAGAAACTTTGTAGAATGTCCACCCTTCCTGCCTCGCCCCGTCGTTGCCGTACCCCTAACCGTGGAGGTCGAAAACGCGACTGAGAGCTCAAGACCGAGGCACCGGCGCCCCAGCCTTTGTCGAACGCTCTAGTTAGTATGCCGGCGGAATGTCGTACGTATTTCGTCGGTGGCGATTCGTCGTAGGTCGAGTTGTTGGTGCCCTTGGCCGAGGTGAGGACGCATCTAAGCCCGGTATTTCGACCGTACCTTCACAGCGGCTGGTAGTTGCGGAGGGTCGGAAATCCTCTTGCTTCTTAGTTGGCGATTTGGCTTTTGGAGGTATGGGATTGCTTAGGTGGATTGTGAGATGATTTTTGAGAGGGCCGCGAGATGAGTTTGGCTGAGAATGAATTTCCAGAGAAAAAGAAAATAAGATTTTGAAGGTGTCGGTTGTCGTAGTACGAACATCAGACGGGTTACAATCTGTCTGCGGTTCGTATCTGGGGTGTAGATGGTTGATTTCGTTGAGTTGTGCAGTCGTGAAATCTCTGCGAGTCGGATTTTCGACCAAAAATGAGCCAACACCACTCCTCCCGATCGCCAACTCGACGAAAACTCTCAAATTCACCCTTTGTCGTGACTGAATCTCGGCTCTGGGAGAATATTTCACTCTCAGGTTCGTAGAGGACACCACTGACAGGTGTTCAGCCTTCGTCCTCCAGACTGACAGTGTTACGTCGAGAGTTAGATGAGGTGGGGATCGCCGTCTGCTGTAAGTGTCTTAGTTCTCTGGTATAGTCTGAGTAGCCTGAGCACCTACTCCAGTTGGAAAAGAGATACCTCAAATCACATTTCGCGCGGAGAAAATTATGTAGATGATGAAGGCATGCCTGGATAACTCAGGTTTTTTGAAACGTTCCCCTGGGTGGGTATTCACGGATGAGGGTTTACTTGGGGTGAAGAAAAAGACACCATAACTTCGCAGTGGTACTTGCAAATGAAATCTGAGGCATGAGTGTTCTTCCTTTACGTTGAATCATCTATTCTGTACTTTTCTCCGATATTGTGTCACAGCTGGATAGCTGCATAAGCAATTAAATTCTGATGCAAAATAACGATAAAAAGTATTCTAGAACTGACTGGACAAATAACTAAAGAGGATAAAGCTGAGAATGAATCTATTTGGTCGACAGAACTGGCGAGGTGCTAGGAGGTTACGACCGAGGGACGAGAAGCCAAAAAAAAATAGTAAGATGTTTGAGAATATCGGACTATGGAGATACAAGATTGAGAAGCTGGAGAACTACTTTGTGGTAACTCCAGCTTCCTTAAGTACAATAAGCTACGTACTAAATTTCAACAAAGGCTTTGCCAATATTAGATCATGAATTCAGCCCCTCCTACTCGAGAAGTCAGTTTTCCTGAAAACACTCTTGTTGAATTTTTCCCGAGAACCTTATCCATGAACTTTCATCAACGACGCTTGGGCATAACAGGTCGAATCTTTTATAACAGATTTTTACCGACCCTTTCAATAATAGAGTCATGTGATTCGAATTTGCTCTTATGTAAAACAACGAGCAAGAAGCCGACCAGATTGGAAGTCGTTACCTTTCTTGCCACCATTATTTTGGACGGAGAATGGTTGTTGCCTTTGTCGTTTGCGCACACTGATATGCGTAAGGCGACTCATCAATCCTTTACATGTAGCAAAATAATGAGAAAAGATGTACGGCATAGTACCAAGTTTGTTATTTACATTAGCCATTATAGGATGAGAGGACTATGTGACCTGCTTCCTTCGATATCAAAGATAAAATTTCAGACATGCAACAGCCTGACTGCTTCTGCCTGGCTCTTCGATAATGTCACGACTCATTTGGTAGGATAAACAAAGTTTTCGGGGTTTTCCTACGGCGTATTCATCTAGTTAAGAAATTATATGGCTCATTTGAACAATCTAGAAATCAACAGTAAAAACTGTTAGCCACAATTTTTATAGTTCATAGACAAAAATTCAAATGTATCTGGCGCTTGTGAATGTAACACCCCGTTCCGCATTACATAAGATCGAAAAAACGCGTAATTACGGGATGTCTGGCATAAAATGGAAGTGATAGGTATGTAGAAAAGGAACCTGTAGCTAATAAATTTGATTTAAATTCTAATCAACAAGTAGGAGATTATTTAATTTTTCCTTGCTTTTGCGTACTAATTGTGTAGAATGGCTTGAAGTGATAATGGAAAAGTGGAGCGAATTCGGCTAGTGCGTCTAGAACGGAGTTACTCCCAGAATTTCCAACACGCCACGACTTATCGCGTCAACTGGAACAGATGAGACGAGCATCACCACTAACAACGCATGGTCTACCGACGTATTAATACGTTCAATGGCACCTACGCAGAAGCTGCGCGAATCTTCAATGGAGCGCTCTTCCGAATATCATGATTTTATTAACAAGCTTGCAGCATACCATGAAAGAAGAGGAACCTACTTTGATCCAGAGCCAAAGGTTGGGACTAAGCATATGGACCTTCATCGACTCTACAAAACTGTCATTGAGAGAGGGGGATACGATGTCGTTAGCGATGAAAAGTTAGCTTGGCGGAGAATGGGACAAGAGTTCAACTTAGGAACCGGAAATCTTCCAGCAATCGCATTTCAATTAAAGGGTGTCTACTACAAGTTCCTTGCAGCTTATGAGATATCAAACCACTGGGGAGAGGAGCCACCTCCAAAAGAAATACTAGAGGACCTCACGGCTAGAGGTGGGAGTTTGCGAACTCGAACAATTGCGAATTTTGTCCCCCCTACCAAAAAAGACGGCGCCATAAATGAATTTTCTGAAGCTTCTGGTGACGATGGAACACCAGCTAGAGAGCGAAATGTAAGCGAGGATACTCCCGGCTCAGTGGGAAGAGCTACAAGAGGCTTGCGCCTACAACCGCCTCAAAGAATAATTTTCCAGCCTGATACAGGTCCTTCTCGACAGGCTAGAGCCATCTCAACAACTTCGCATCCTCCCCCACAAACCCAAAATTTCAATCAGCAAACTCAGCATCAACAGGCTTTACCAGTACCAAGAGGAGCCTCTACATCCTACAATCCTACAAATAACACAGAGACTTCTCTTGCGATCACAAACTATGAACCGCGACCCCAAATACCACTTACCTTGCGCCCTGTCGTTACTCCAGGTAACAACACTGTCGAATTTTTCAAGAGAAAACTTTCATCCATGGAGCAGGGAAACTCGACAAACAAGTCACAAGGCTCGAATAGAGAAATTGTTGTCCCAGGAAGTAAGTTATGGTTTCCAATTTTCTCCAAGTACGTGCTAAATAGAATCAAGAAGGGTTTGACGGCCCGAATATTTATGTCCGATGTTTATGCGCATTGAGATCGGGCACGCCTTCAGAGCAGGACTACGCATTGCATCACCTAGTGAAAATCTCAATGGAGCGTGGTGATAAATATCGTTTCGAAGGATTCCCAGGTCTGGCAGAGGGCCTTATCGAAAAATTACTCGAAGTCAGCTCCCTCTTCTATAAAGTCACATGGCAGATACATTACATGTGTGACAATGATACAAGTGAAAACAGCCTGAACGGTTTAGATGGTACACCAGATATTCTACATAGGATCGCGCAGCTGGTAAAAATTCCGGTCGATGACACCATCCAGACATCGGAATTCAGTGACGCAATGCTTCAGATTAATGAAGCTGCCCTCACGCTACGAAATATGATAATGCTTGAAGAAAACGCGCTATATGTGTCTAAACTTCCCCTGATGCGAGACGCCATGAGTATTGTGCTTAATCTTCCCAAGCTCGACAGTGTAGTAGAGTTGAAGCATTACGCACTAGATATTGCTGAACAAATAACAAAGTACCTTCAATTAGATGATGATGATCCACTTTATTTATCGCTTCTAAACCAACTACGCTTGGAGGACCGAGGAGCTATTTTAGTCGCTCTGAGAGCTATCAGCAGAATTTCGATGAACCTTGAAGAAAATAATCTTCTTCGAGGAGTTTCGATCGATATCATCGAACGAGTTTTGGACTGGATCTTACTATGCGACGAAGATCTTATCGCTACGTGTCTTGACTTTCTGTATCAGTACACTGCTGTGGTCGACAATGTAGACCCTCTTCTCTCCGGTGGTCATGCTGGACCACTGATTAATCAGCTAATTCGTCTTCTTCTTTACGATGCCAAGGTTGTGGAATGTGAAATATCTGACAGCCAAGACCACCGGTTACCCGCACCATCAACTATTGCTCTTCTCCCTCGGGAACTTTTCACTGAACTTGTAAGAATGGACGAGCCAGAACGCAGCTCCCTATGGCTTCGTTGCCTATTTGAGGAAGATAGCATGGAATCGATCACACAAATTGCGCTTTGGCAAGCATATCAAAGCTCCTTTGCGAACTCGGTAGTCGAGAATGGAATTCCATTGCTCCCCGCCGCCGAGTTTATCAAAAATGTTAGCACAACCTTTGCCGACAAAGCCGCAGCGCAAGTTCAGCCAGGAGCCGTGCAAAAGTTTATTATCAAAGGTATTCGATACCGAAGCATACCAATCGACAGAAATGGCGATGAATTTCGAAAATGCCTCTGGAATAGTTCATGTGACGATTCTACGTCTTGTGGGCAATTTTTTATGAGTCCTCAGTCCATGTATCAGCATATTTTATCGAACCATTTAAGCGCTCGACAGAACGAAGACGGTCGATTTCTCGATCCGGGCGATCAAATTTATAATTGCTGCTGGGATCAATGTCAGAGATTCAAAGATAAGCCAGCTCCTAGGCTATCACAGATAGCCACTCACATCAAGGTACACCTTCCACCGCCTGCTTCTGTGACCCCAAATAGCACCAGCTCACATGGACCGCCGCCAAGTAAGAAACAGAAATTATCTTATATGGTTCAGTCAGAAAAACCATCCTTAAAATACCACGTAACCGCCGTAGACGAAAGGCAGCAGGCGGCTGGGGTTCCTCTTACAGCTGTACTTGTCCTGCGAAACCTTGCTCGAAATATTCCAAAGACAGAGAGTAACGGGAGTGCCATAAAGAGCGGTGATGTTCCATGGATTGGGCGGCTTTTTAAGCCAGTCGAACCTAAACTCTTTGAAATTACAGCTCACAACAAGAGCTTGGTGCGTCTTCTCGGTTCCTTCATTCCAGCTACTATTATTAACCTTCTACAGACCTTGTATATGACTGATTTAATAAATAGCATCAAAGAGACCTAAATGTATTTCAAAAAGGCGTAACTTGGGCGGTTTTTTATTTTTCCTCACAAGATAATAGCGAGAAATATCTACCTCGCGGATAATGGCGTTTAATGAAGCGAATACAATTTCGATACTCTTTTCACACTTATGATACTTCACATGGTCTCATAGTCAGGCTAGCTGATATCTACGCCCACAAAGCGATTAAGTTTCAGCAGGCCAAATCAACGAAGGACAGCGGTCCAATGTCACCCACCCATAGTCGAATTCAGCGATTAGTGGAATCAAAATTACAGGCACACCTACAAATTTGCATAAAGAGCAACAGGAACTACAGAATACTCGTATCTTGTAATCCTATTTCTGCTTATTTGTTTTGGTCCAATGCTTCCTGCCTTGATTAGAGGACACTTGGCGCGCGATATTCGCTATAACTCCAGCTAGCGCTCTGGGGCTCGGAAGAAAGCTTGGTCCGTGGCATAAGGACTAGCCTTTACATCATCATGGACAGGCTTCTTCAAATAGGGCCAACTCTTGGCTCAGATGTAAGAATATTTTTGTAGTCCTATCCTACCTGACTACCACAGCAGCGAGCTCTCCTAGCCGTCAGTGTTTGAAAAACCTCTACATATCTCAAATACATGTGATCAGGATGTGTGCGGGCTACACGTCACGGGCCTTGAAGCAGACGATTGTACCGGTAAATTGAGCCCAATATCACTCCCCAGACTTGATTGGACTAAATTTAGAATTAATTATTTCCTTCAAAGCGTGAATCCTCTTGTAGATAGCAAGGCTGTTCTGTACGCAGGGATTAGTGGTTCGTGGGATCGTTTAAGGAGGGTACAAAATTTTTCAAAGTCTCACGCTAAGACTTGAGTCATCTATGTAGGACATAGTTGATGGATTGATTTTCCACGCAACTTCTTCGTGAGGATGATCGTGAGGCCCTGATTGAATTCCGAAGCTGCACCTACTCACTAGTCTTAAGGAAAGATAGCCTCACGCGTGCTAGGCTTCTAGGCAACTTTACTTCACAGCCCACGTGCGCCGATAGAGCTGAACAGTTTCTCATCGTTTTGCCAGCGTCCATGAAAAGCTCATTCGTGCCCCCTTGCCTCTCATCGCTCCGAGTGGTTAGAAGAGTAAAGCTGAGCTGGTCTCCTCTATCATCTCGGTATGTAGCTCACCCTTGTGTGACGGTGTGAGGGCGTCGTAAGATGGCAGAGCCAGACCGTGGACTGAGGACAAGCGCGGCTGTTGTGCCAAAGTCAGCACGTCTTGCACTGTACTGCCGACGAGCGTTTAGGAAGGATTCGGGTGACGACGTGGCTCCCAAAGAGATAAAGAATACGCGGAAGACGGCTATGCTCTTGAGGAAAGCGAACAATCCAGGTTGTGTCTGGGCTATCTGGGTTTGTCTCATTATCCTGGGATGGGAGTACGGAGACGGGGGTAGCGCTAGCTTCTGTTGCTACAGCAGCTGTTACGGCTTCGGTCGTGACTGGTTCGAGGCAGTATTGCAAGTTTTGGTTTATTGTCCAGTAGAACCGAGGGACATTCTTAATCCTGTATGACGTCCAGGGCGAGGCTTTCTCAATGGGAGCGGTCCCAAACAGATCAACTGTTTCCAGTTTCTCGTTTAAGGCATCGGCATTACCAGCGCTCGGGCGGAGAGCAAATCCTGTCTTTGTAGACACAACGTTTGATAGAAGTCTACTTTGGATGCCAAGCTTAGACTTTAAGTGAGTCTGTATTACATAGCCCGATGCGTTGCGCAGAGAACTGTTTGATGGGAGGCGAACGAACAATCTGTCGTCTGGTTTAGCGTTTTCAGTTTGTACGTGAGCATTTAGCTTCTTTGTGGAGGGAGGGGTCTTCTGTGCGCCTCGTTTGGCGGCACCCGCGTAGCTTTGGGAGACGTTTACTTTCGCTGTCTATACAGGGCTAGATATCTCGATAGTTGAGGTACCGTGCATGTATGCGTTGAAGTGCTTAGCAGCTATAGTTGCTAGTTCTGAGGTGCAGTTGCGGAGGGCTTGAACTTGAGGCTCTGGTAAAATAGCGCGGGCGTGAGAGAACAATGTTCGTCGAGAAGTCGGGCTAATGAGCCAAACAAAGTTTCTGCTTCACAAGCTCTCGAGGCTGCTAATTGAGCGGCTTCGAGGAGAGACCGTTGAATGGGGCCGGGGTTTTGATTTTCAGAAACATCATCGTAAAAGAGATTTTGATTTGAAAAGGAGTTTTGGGGGACGTCGAGATCAAAAGGTGGGTCTAAGCAGTTTTCTTGGTAGACCATGATTCATGTGTGTGGAAAGTGACGATATGGCACTACTAGTCAGGAGATTGAAATTTTGTTACAAGTGACATCAGTAAATGCATGGCTGGGTAGCAAGTTTGGAGCTTAAGGATAAGTCACCAGTCTGTGGATTCATTCGGTGAATCAGTTATTATAGGTACATATTAGTAGTAGCTAAAGTTTTGTTTTCTCCTCATGTAATTTATTAAATCGATTAATTCATCACGAACTCCGTTTCCGTCACGCTGTTGCAGTTTCTCTTTATTTGTCTTATCAATGTTTTTGGCGTTGGGAATCAACCTATCCTGGGTTTAAATTACACGTTCAGATGATTAGTTGTTGAGCTTTAACGTTACATCAATTATTGATGGTACAGGATAAAGCTATGCCTCATGGCGTGAAAAGTCAGTCTCTAGAAGGTAGACGTAATTTCGGTTAGAAGCAGAAAGAATATTCACTGAAAAAAAATTGTAGAAGAATCTACTGGATGTGGTCAAGATGTGCTCGGTAAAAATCACGCATTGAGAACATCTTTAATTGGTGTTGTATAAAGTCTAGGTAGATATGTTCTAATAATTTCTTTGGGCTAATGCTGTTTGGAGTTATTCGGTCGACATATTTCTGCGCTGCTAGCTTGAGTGGCCTTCCAACGCTGGATCTACTTCCTTGGTTAGATACGGAGAACTACATGTGTAAGACATTATTATTGAACGGTAGAGCATCTTGAGTAGCGGTGTCTGAAAAAATGTCGTGAATGGTAGTAATTAATATCTAGCTTAGCTCTTCATGTGCGACGGAAGTCTAGACCCTGAAACTAGTAATATCAAATAAAGCACGTTTCCCTGGTCTGATAGATCCGTTTTCTCGTCCAAAAATCGCTATTTTCAAAGGCAACACATGTCTCATAAATTGTTCACAAAAGAATTCATTGGCTCTGCATCTATCCATTTAAGCTTTGGATAAGTGACACATTATCACCCTTCAGAAGAATTTGGCCTATTAACGTTAGACAATGTGATGTCCAGGCTCGGACGGATTGGAGAACCTAGAGATCTTCTGCTTTCTTCGCTAGTTTTCGTAGCTTGCCGAACTTCAACTGCATCATCAAGCACTAGGTTCATGAATTCGTCAAATCCCTGTCTCCTTATTAGAGTTATTTTTAGCCACCGAGCGGCGCATCTTACCCTGATCTTTCCTTCGATACGAGTTGCTAGTTGTTCGTACAGCCATACTATGACAGTTGAGCGTTGTTGAAGTAATTTGAATATCAAGTTGATGGGAGGAAGAAGGACCTAGTCGAAAATTATGTCAATAACGATCATCTAATAATTAATTTCGAGGATAATTCCATCATTTTTCGTAGAGTGAAACTTGTGAATGAATTTCAGGACATACTTTACGGGGGCCGCCTCGGTTCATGTTGTGATTCAAGTTATTTTTGATAGGAGAAGATTATATTCGAGTAGAAGGGCTCTTGAGATGGACTGTTCAACGTTAAAGAGGAGAGAATGCCGTGTCGGTAAACGAAGATGGGAAATATCTAGTGCATGTACAAGCTAAAGTGATCTGTGCGCTCAGTCTTAGCGCAGCATGTGACTTAGCTGTTTGCTCTATTTGCCATTTATACTTTGACCAATGTTATTTGAATGATTCCGAACCCCTCTTGACTGCCATCATATCGCCAAATTGCGCTTCTATCAGTACTGAGAAGATTATCAGAACGGCTTCTTGCCAAACTTAATTCCTGGATTGCTGTCCGGAAAATGATATCAGCGAGCCAGCAATTTGGGGCTCTCCATGAAAGATCTGCAGTGAACCTTACTATTTACATTACACTTGATGTGAATAGAGACCTAAACGAAGGGTTTACAGAAACTTTGCTCGCGCTTGACGCTGTCCTGCCAGGTAGACTAGCCCGACGTTTGCGCGAGCAAGGTTGGCCTGAGTCGTTTGTGCCGTGGAAAAGCTCGTTTGCCATTGGTCGCTCGGTTCAAATTCGTTTAGACGGGAAAACCAGCCCACTCCAGCAGGTCAACTGTGAACTTACGCATGATCTCCCACTTCCCCTATCCTTCTTATACTATATATCTCACCAACATTTAGAATGGAAAATTAAACTCAAAGATTTGGATATGCAGATGACATCGCATTAATTGAGACGCGTGACTCACTCCAAGAAAATGGCTGCCGTTTGACTGCCACGATACAGGAGGCACTGATCTTGGACCGAGGAGAAGGCATAACCTCTGATCCAAGAAAGCCAGAACTTCAAGACCTTTTCCGGAGACGTGCAGATAAGGATACGAACTCTACTGCTATCGATTATGAAGAATTTTCTATCTCTGAAAATGCTTATCGACCCTGTACAAGGTGGCTCTGAGTGTACTTTGATAAAAATGGCACTTTTAAATAACATGTTCGTACTCTAGTCGTTAAGTCCCAAGAGTTGCTAATCTTCCCTGCAATCTGGGGAACACTACCTGCGGCGTCACCCCAATGCTCCTGCGGCGAGATGTAATATCGTGCGTGCTGCCAACTGAATACTATGGAGCTGGACCGTGGTGGCTCGACTGTACTAGGAACTTGACCTTAACTCGTACCGTTTCGAGGGGTATGAAAGGGCACTTCTCTCTTCTCCAGAAATTCGTTCGGAGCAGTATCCTAGCAATCCTTTCTGTTTACCGTATTACTCCTATCTCAGCCCTCTTTGCAAGGCAGGATTGCTACCTCTAGAAATTGAGATGGGCTTAAGACCATGCACAGCTGCTTTGACCACTCACTGTCGCGTAGGTTGGGTCTATACACAGGAAATTTGGGGTTTCCGTTTCCTAGACTGGGTGCTTAGCCTCCCAAAGATAGAGAATATAGACCCACTTGTTCAATCTCTCTGGTCTGCAAAAGAAAACTGGCATGCCAGTATCCGACGAGTTACGAAGTCCTCAAATCTACTTTCAAGACTTAGTAGCATATTTGGGTAGAGACCTTTGTGAGAGCGAATCTGACCCTCAAGTTGGCGGTGGCGCGGTCATCTATTAAGCGTGTCGTTTGGTATCTCGTAAATGTATACCTCTTGCTTTATCGCTCAGCCTATTTGGCACGAAAGTTGCTGCGGCTTTGCCAGCTGTCACTATTGTACTTTAACTCCCGTCTGTCCGTTTCGCCAACAATCTTTGGATTCATCTCGATAACCTCGACGCTGCCCGATAACTTGAAATGAATCTAGTATGCTCTTGCCAAGAATTGTCTATAAAATTTGCAAAATTTGCATTTGAAAGGTCACGTTGTCCTCGACTCCTCATACCACACCTGTGAGGCTTCAAGTCCTCTGGATTCCCGATCATAGTAATATCACAGGAAATAGCCTTGTAGATGTAGCGGCCAAAGAAGCAGTAACAATACTCCCTCCCCCTTTATCCTCTTCTCTCACTCTATTAGCTGCAAATATTTGGGTAATTTATTAAATAAACTTTTGGAAAGCAAACTGAGTCGCAAAAATTTTGCGATGGCAGCAATGGACTTCACCATCGAAAATCATGCCCCTATAACGGAAAGGGGCTCCTGTTCTTTTAGCATCCCATCCAACACTCCACCCATCTTCCTCTCCGCGACACCTCCTTCTCAACCTATCCTACCTCAACACGACGTGGTAGTGACTGACAGGCCAACCCTTCAGCCTGTCCCTCCCTCTAAACACGAAAATCCCAAATCCTGCCACGATACAACGGCAGAAAATGTGAACGACGCGAACGAATTTCTCCCAAGAAAACTCGCCCAAATTATTGAAGAACGACAGCGTCGTGAACTTGCATGGCACGCTTGCATAATGATGTGTACCTGCGCAATTAGCAGTATCGAGAGTGCTCTCTCAGGCTTTATGAAGGATATCGAAAAGGACGAGGCTACGGCAACCCGCGATTACCTCTGCAAGGCCATTTCAAAATACGCAGCCTCAGAGGCTGCCCCCCTCCTCCTCCCATTCCCTCGAAGTGTCGACCAGTTTCTCACAGGGCATAAGGCAAGGATAAAGATCAAACGAATAAGGTTGGCACTACAGCGCCAACTACAACAATTAGACCCTCTAAGGAACTTCCCCAACTGCCTAGCAAGCCGGTAAACACCACGCTTTCTTGGGCGACAGTTACACGCAGCGGCCACAAGAAAGCTCGTGCCACCGCTTCAAGTGAGTCACTGCCAATCACGTCGATACTCAAGCAAGTAGCTCCTCAAAAAGAGCTCACTAGACCTTGGCCTACCACTCGCAATCAAGCAACTACTGGAAAGGCTCAACCCCCTATCAGCCCTGATAAAAGGATATTTATTCGCCTACCACGCGATCATGAGTGGCGAAGACTATCACCTACTGGTATCCGGGAGGTAGTAGTGAAACGACTCTCGGTATTGCCATCACCTATTGGTAGGATCAAAGCGGTGAACTCAGGGTTTGCTATAACTCCTTGTAGCAACGAGGCGCGAGAAGAACTCATAAAAGCCGAGAATAGGCTCTTCTTATCTAGGGCAAAGCTTGAACCAGCAACGAGCTGGATACCTATCATTATTCCAACTGTCCCGGCAGCTATTCGAACGCTTGAGAGACGAGTTGAAGTAAATGAGTCCATGCTCACTGTTGAGATCGAGAGGATAACTAATATGAGGCCCTCTGTAGTGAAACTCTTCGGACAGAATAACCCCTCCACGCCCCACAGAACCTGGATGGCCTTCTTCTCCAAATCGCCTCGACCCGGCTTCAGAGTCTTTGATGAATCCGGTCTCGCCAGGCTATTCAAGAAGCAAGAGCCCCTTGAGTTCTGTAAGCGATGCAGCGGCCACCATCCTTCAAGGAACTGCTTCAGGGCACCATCTTGTGGGACCTGTGGCTCAACTATGCATACCGAAGATTCATGTCAAGCTCTGACTAAATACAGGAACTGTGGGGGCCCCCATAGATCTGATAGCACTAGATGTCTGACTCGTCCAACAAGAACGGGTGGACCATCAAAACAGCAATTGAAAACCTACCGAGATGCAGGAGAGCGAGAATTCCAAGCTCTTGTTAGAGCAAGAGATGTAGAGGCTAAGGCTGCCTCCGCTGAGGCATCGATCCATAACTCTACAACTGGTCTAGTTCCAACCCCAGACGCTGGAGTGGCAACAGCATTACCTCCGGAGAATCCGACAGGTAATGCAAGGCGATTGTGAAGGGCGACCAACAGAGTCGCCATCCCCCTCAACAGATTCTTCGATTTATGTCAATTAATGTTGGAGAGAGAACAATACACGGTATCGCGCTAGACCGTGCCTGCGAGCTTCAACTTGATGTCTTGCTTATACAGGAGCCATGGTGGCGTGGGCATACTAAGGCACATCCCTATTTCAATGTCCACATACCGCACAATGGCATAAGCATTCGTCCTCGAGCAATCACATACACTAGGAAACATGCCAGGCAAATTCAAGCCATTCAAAAATTTCACTCGGCCACTCCAATTAGCGACTATTGCTGGGTTGAGGTAAACAACACAACATTTCTCAATGTATAAAAAGCCCCCCACGATCCAAAAGCGGTTCGACCCATTCTTGAATGGGTTCCATCTTCTCGCACCGTTGTTGCAGGCGACTTCAACTCGGCTCATTGGGCCTAGCAGCCAAGCGCAGTACATACACATGTTGTAATCTAACGCTTTTCATCCTCGGACTTCATGGTGAGCAGTGGTTGTATAGCACGTGATTCCATGCGGGGGAGAAGGAACAGGATGGCGAAAGCCGCTAGCCGGATCTAAGCGATCTGGCCCACTTGTAGATAGAGAAATCCCTTTTTTATATAGAAAAATACAACCCTAATCTCAGGGATGAGGGTTTGACAGTGTTCCACGGGGTGCGTTGTATAGCCTAGTGAAGATCTAGGTGGTAAGTGAAGATTTTAAATGGGTCAAAGGGATGACAGGTCTTCTCTAGGAAGAGATGAATGGGCAACTAGTTGCAGTAGATGTTACACGTGGGTCTGTGATGGGCGATCAACAAAACAATATAGTAAAGGAATGGTGGCTGATTACTGTCTATTTTCTACATATATCTCGGAACTGTCCACCGAGGGGAGGCTACTTAAGGTGTCTCAACTCCCAATGCGCTAACCTCACTATCTATTCTACTACACCATATCCTTGATATTCCGAGTGGGCTCGTCATAGCGAAACTGGGTCGTATCGGCCCATGATTCCATATGAGACTTGCTGCAACAATATCTTGTTTCCATATTTGTTGCAACCCTGTATTTGTATGGCCAAGTTGGACATCTCTTTAGATAGCAAGGCTGATAACGTAATACTGATAAGTGTCCGTGCGACAGTCACCAGGAGATAGGCGCAGCCTGTAACAGGGTCTTGCTGATGAAGAATTGGGCAATGGATATATGGTCTTCCCGA